AACTGTCCTCAGAATTTAAATTGGATTCGTCAAATAAGCTCGCTTAGATTAAACACACTGAGAGCCATTTTGAGTTATCAAATATAGCATTTTATAATGATATAGTAAAGAATAAGGTAAAAAAAACTTCAAAGTTGGACATTTTCCCACTATGTCATACAGTTGAAAATGTGTCAGTCATGAGAATACTGCTACCTGAGAAAGCCGACATGCTAACTGGTGACTTGGGGCTTTCTCCCCATCCTACATATGTGGTAACGACTTTGGGACCTGCCCTCAAAATTCCACTTTATAACTGAATATATAAAGTTTACAGTTAGCGTATGTACACTGCAGTACATGAGTTACCAAGTAGGTTAGATGTAGGCCACCGATAGATACCTAAGTTACAAACAGTAATTCTTTAATAAGCCAATCTATTGGCGAGGTGAACATTTTTACAATGTCTCTGGCTTTAAAAAATAAGATGGGCACAACGGCTAAAGCAGGGTTCTAATTGCACGTCTAATCTAACAGCGAGACTGACTCTGGAAAGGATGCGGACAATGCTACCCCCATGGAACTCTTCCGCAAAGCCTCTTACATGAGTAAAATGGGTCAAGCAAGTAGTGTCTAGCCTATCAAAAATGTTTTTCACCACTAAAGATTCCTACGAGGTAAAGTAAGGAGAACAAACATTTTAGCAGGATGGGCAGAACAAAGCCCCTCCCATCCCATAATGATTGATGCCTCATCATTAGCAGGGTAGCTGCCCATTTCTTATCTTGATTGACAGCTTAATAAGGGACCTGGGGCTATCTTTTCAGTACTAACACACAACCTTACCAATTACTTTTAAATTATTGCTAATCTGTCAGAAAATAACAAGCATAAGGAATAAAAATATCCGCAAAACAGAAACGTCTGGTGAAGCAGCTTTTACTTCCGGTGCCTTAAAAGGTTATTTGGAAAACTTGCTAGAATTTAGTCAACAGAATTTAGGCACTGGCGATTTTTTTTTTTTTAAAGAAAAGCTTGTAGTTTATAATAGTTCATTGGTTCAATTAGGAGCGAAAAAGAAGGGAGTTTTGTAATGCAATTGTCCAGCAAAGGAAAACGCTTTAAATTGGGGGATTATGAGCGCAGACCACCTGTGGGGCATTCAGAGCCCTTTTCTATAAAGCTTCAACCCATGCCTAGCTGCCTGCAGGCTGGCTAACAATGCCGGGAAAAGCTGTTTAAAAGGCTGAGCACTTGTGCCTCCGGTCTTCACTAACTGTTACAAGTCTTCCTCTCCCGCGCTCTCTCTCCTTTTTAAAGTAAAAGTCCCACATCCCTTTAATGGAAGAACTTTAAGGCTCCGCGGTGGCCAATTGGTCTGCACTAAGAGGAGATGGGCAGCAGGGAAAGAAACTTCAGACTATACAGCACATTTGCAGAGGAGAAAAGATCAAAGTTTTTCAAACTCAAAAGACCAAGTTCCCTACAGATTAACCCTATTCATTTAGCTCCTCTTAAAGGAATGATGTGCTGAGCCACTGGGCAGACAGGTAAAAAGTTCAACAATTGCTGGAGCATTCTTCTGTTAATTCAACAGCCTTCTGCTCAAATAAATTAGCTTAGTCTTGACAGAGGAACAATAGCTTTTTTCTCTAGGAAAAGCAGCACATTTGGTATACACAAGCATTGAAGGTTATTAAGATGTTAACCCGTTCGTTTAATCCATTAAAGAGTGCCCGCTCCCCTACCAGATTGTCAAGTGACTTCTACTGTAAAGGGTGAGCTATGGTTTAAAACATTAACCTCTACACTTCAGCCAGGCGTTCCGTCCCTGAACACCAGGTGCCTTCAAAATCACGGACTCCAGAAATGAATGCAGGGTTTTGAAATCTTTAGTGATACCATACAGGATAAATAACAAGGCCTAAGGGGAATGACTGCCTTGCAGAAGTTCCATTTACATCCACTAAGGTGAGAGTTGTTATCCATGGATCAGAACAGCGCTCCCATGAAAAACACCGTCTTTGGGGAAGGTGCAAAAACTCGATTTTGATTTCAGTTCAACAATGTTATTTACTTGGCTAACAACTTAAAGAAGTAGAGTTTAACAAGTAATTTTCTCCATGCCTGAGGTCATGTACAGAATGACAAGCCAGAAAATGTCCATTTTCCCCATGCGTCCTTAGCAAGCACTTTAAAGGTGACAGCTCAGAAGAGGCGGGGGAGAGGGCAATGGTTAAATCATTTATCAAAAGTCATTTTATTGACAAAATAGAATACTTATATCTGTTCTTAAAGGGGTAAGCCTCTAAACTTTTTACAAGAAAATGTACACACTGTATATCTTTGGGTATATACATATTTTACACATTTTGTACAATTTAACAAATAATTATATAAATACATTGTCTAATGTAAGAAACCCGTATTTATTTGGGGTGTATAATTAAGACATTTCTTGTTTGTTTACTTAAGGCATCTGCCTGGTCATTAAGAATACCCAAACCGTGCAATCCCGTCAGGTCGCAGTCACCCCTCCTCCAAGGTAAGTTAGGGGTTTAGGTAGGAGAGTCGAGGGAGAAAGAGGTTCTCCCAGGTGAAATCTGTGTATCTGACTGCAAACCAGTCAAGTGCAGCCAGGGAGGGCTCCAAGCCTCGGGTTCTGGAAACGCCGCAGAGTTCATCCTCCTCAGCCAACAGAAATTAACGCGTGGCGGGAGGAGCTCCCCGCACATCAATGGAGGAAAAGGGGCTGGGTCTGGGAGGCTTCAATGCCAGGTACTTTGTTCTAAGTGAGTCTTTTAAGTCCCAGCTAATGGATACCATTAAGAGTTCATTATCATGCTAATAGCAATCAACACTGTGAAGGGGTGGGAACCTCAGCCCGTCAAGTGTCCCTTCGCTGCACTGGTCTCCTCGCCCCCCTCCCCACCCCTCCTGGGCGCCCCCTCCCCTCCTCTCAGACCTGGGACAATGGCATCTGCTTTGGATAAGACACGGAGCTGGCGGTGCCAGACCGCCACGTCAGGCCAGTGCTGACGTCGCTGTAGAGGGAGCCCCCGCCGCCGCCGCCGGGACCTCCGCCGCCGCCGACCCCCGGCCCGCCGCCGCCCCCCGCGGCTGTGGCGCCCGCGCCCCCGCCCCCCGCGGCGCCCTTGCTGGCCCAGCAGCAGCGGGTGCACAGCGAGCGCCAGGACTCCAACGTCTTGCCGGACCAGACCCATACGCCCGAGGTGATGCCCACCACCAGGCACATGAAGTATTTGAGCATGAAGACGGCGTAATCGGGCCTGCGCGCCTGGTCGGGCTGCAGGTCCCGCAGGCACGGGCAGTTGTGCGTGGCCTCCCAGCGCGGGCGGTTGTGCTGCTCGTAGAAGAGGCAGGCGACCACCACCGCGGCGGGCACGGTGTAGAGCACAGTGAACAGGCCCAGGCGGATCATCAGCTTCTCCAGCTTGTGCGTCTTGGTGGGGCCATCCTGCTGCTTGATGACCGAGCGGATGCGGAAGAGCGACACGAAGCCGGCCAGCAGGAACATGGTGCCGATGAAGAGGTAGATGACCAGCGGCGCCAGCACGAAACCGCGCAGGTTGTCCAGGCTCTGGTTGCCCACGTAGCAGATGCCCGCCACCGGGTCGCCATCCACCGAGCTGAGCGCCAGCACCGCGATGGACTTGACGCTGGGCACGAGCCACGCGGCCAGGTGGAAGTACTGCGAGTAGCCGGCGATGGCTTCGTTGCCCCACTTCATGCCGGCCGCCAGGAACCACGTGAGCGACAGGATCACCCACCAGATAGAGCTGGCCATGCCGAAGAAGTAGACCAGCAGGAAGACCACCGTGCATAGCGCAGGGCCCGTGGTCTCGTAACGCACATGCTGCTCCACCGCGCCCAGCTCCTCGTACTCGCCGCGCCCGCCCGGGCCGCCGGCGCCCGCGCTCGCCGCGCCCGCTCCCGCCGCCCCGCCGCCTGCGCCGCCCGCGCCCCCCGCGCCCGGCGCGCCGCCGCTGCACGCCACCTTCTCGTGGCCCGCCACCAGGCGCACCAGGTAGCCCACCGACACGAAGAGGTAGCAGGCCGAGAGGAAGATGATGGGCCGCTCCGGGTACTTGAAGCGCTCCATGTCGATGAGGAAGGTGGAGACGGTGGCGAAGGTGGACACGAAGCAGAGCACCGACCACAGACCGATCCAGAAGACGGTGAAGGCGCGCTCGTCCTGGCTGAAAAAGGGGTTGTGGCACGGCAGCGCGCAGTTGGCGATCTGGCCTGTCTTGACGCGGTTGTAGAGCGGGTGGCGCTCGCTGGACACGCTCACCATGGGCGCGCGGCACTGGCACCCGGGCTCGCAGGGAGCCGCGCCGCCGCCAGGGGGCCGCACCCTCCCGCCGCCGCCGCGAGCTGGGGGCGCCGCAGCGTCCCCGCCGCCACCGCCCCTGCCGCCGCCGCGGTGCGGGGGCCTGCCCCCCGGCGGGCGGCCGTAGCCGCTGCCCGAGGGCGGCTGCTCGCCGGGCGGCGGCGGCGGCAGGCGGCGCGGCGGGCTGGGCGCGGCCGTGGTGAGGTCGGTGCGGTTGTAGTCCATGCACAGCGTGTCGGGGTTGCCCTGCTCGGGCAGCCGCTCGCAGCGCATGCGGTCGGGCCAGGCGAAGCCGTACTGGCGCATGAGCGGCGCGCAGCCGGCCTTGGCGCGCTCGCACACCGAGCGGCAGGGCGGCAGCGGCTTCTTGTAGTCCTCCAGGCAGATGGGCGTGTACATGCTGCACAGGAAGAACTTGAGGTCGGGCGAGCACTGGATCTCCACCAGCGGCCAGAACTGGTGCACCTCCAGGCCCGCCTCGTCCTGCGTGTCGTGGTTGAACTGGTTGGGCATGTAGGTGTAGTTGTAGCCGATGCCCTTGCACAGCGGCACGGTGATCTCTTGGCACGTCAGCTCCTTGGCCGAGGCGGCCGCAGCGCCGCTAGAGCGCTGCAGCAGCGCCAAGGCGGCCAGCAGCGAGGCTACTTCCAACAGGTAACCCCACTCCATGCTGCGCGCCTCGGCCCGGTGCCCTCGCCCTCCAGGCGGCGCGGAGACTGGTGCCAGGGGCCCCGCGAGACAGCCGGAGACGGGCAAAGCGGGTGATCTGGGGTCTCCTGCTTCGCCCGGGAGGGGGGTGGTCTGCCGATAATCTAGCCCCTTCTCGGGGCGCGAACGCAGTGGCGCGGTCCGCAGCCTGGGCAGGGCCCTTCCGCACTCCTTTCCGCCGCTCCCGGGGTTTGAAGGTGGCCGCAGGCGTGCGCCACAGTCCCAGAGGGTCCGCTCTGCTCGCCCCGGGGCGCGCTCAGTCTTCGCGGCGCAGAGCGGCCGGCCCTCGGCTCAACGTCCCGCTCTCGTTCGCCTCCTCTCCTCCCGACCGCTTCTCCGCGCCGCGCCGGGCGGCAGTGACTCCGCCGGGCACAGACGGCGGCGGCGCAGCAAGTTTCCTCTCGGGCCGCGGTGCGCAGTCAAGATGGCTGGGCCGGGCCGCTCGCCGCGCCGGGTCAGCCCTGGCGGCCTCCGCTCGGCCCCCAGGGGCTCATGCCCGCCCCCAAGGCCGCGCCGCCGCCGCCGGAGTTGGGGACCCGCCTCGGCCCAGGCCGCCGCCCTCTTTCTCTGGCGTCCGTCCTTCGTCCGCCTGCCGTGGGGACAGACGGACCCCCGCCGCCGGGAAAAGTCCGCGCCGCGCTCGGGCCGCAGTCGTGGGAGGTGCACGCAGTCCCCTTCCTGCTGGACACACAGGAGCAAATCCAGACCGGAAGGCGGATCGGACACCTGAGTGGCGCGGCTCGCGCCCAGCCGCCGCCGCCTCCTCCTCCTCCTCCTCGGCGGGAGCAGCGCCCTTCGCCCAACTTCCCGGCTTCAGCCCCGCTAGCGCCGCGCGGCCGGCTCATGAATATTTATACAGCGCGGACTCGGTCTCCGCCTCCAGCCCCGCGCGCCAATCACGGGGCAGCGGGGCGGAGTCCACGCGCTCCCAGGGCTCAACCTTCCTTAAGGCAGTCCCGGAGTGTCCGCACCGTTGTGCGCACTCTCTGCGGATGGAGAGTTTTGGTAACCTTGGGATTGACCGCAGAGACAGAGCGTTGGCCACGGCTGTCCCCAAGGCGCTGAGTGCGTCTGAGGTCTTGGTCCCCTTTCCCCGAGTCTGCCCGTGGGGACAGGGACGGGGTTTGGTGCAGCGTGCGCCTCCCCGGCGCGTTTCCAAACCAGCCAAGCCCCTGCTAGCACCCTCCGCGAATGCGGGTGACCTGCGGGCGGCGGGGGTCTCGCGCTCTTCAGGGCGGCGCAGAGGTTCCGCAGCAAAGTGCCCGGGCCCTGCAGGGGCTCGACGCTGCAGAGGACCCGGGGAAAGGTGCCTTCTTGGGGTTCTCAGAGCGATGGTTTGTGAGACTTGGAGTTGTGTGGGGAGTCGAGTCATTCTAAACTGGGGCTGGACCAGGGACGGCCGGGGTGACATGTCCGGCGTTGGGTGCGTGGGGTGGGGGGCGGGGGGCAAATGTCCGCCTGGGGTTCTCCTCCCGCCTCCGCTGCGTGACCCGGGGGAGCGTCAGTTTCCCCACTTGGAGGGTTGGGTGATCGTAGCAACCCTCGAAGAGGGTTTTGATAATTAGGTGAGATTAAAATATAGAAAGCCCCGGTACTCCGTGCTTTCTTAGGAGAAGTCATTCCATTTCTTTTTAAAAATCAAAACAAACCCTAAACTTATAAATAGGACAGACTGGAAACTCCGGGGCTGGATTCTCTGCCTGCGCTTGGGCTCTCGGGACGTCTATTCATCCATCCCAAGTTCACGTTTTTGCCAGAGCCTCCTTTTCTCTGGTGGGAGGCGGTGCTGCGCCCTGGCGCGAACTCCGGGACACGTATCCGCGCTCTGCACGAGGCCGGAGCCGGACTCGAGCTGCTTTTAGCAGCCGCTTGGGCCACCGCCAGCCCAGGCTGCCCCCGCCGGCTCCGCGGCCACCTTAAGACGAGCCGGGGGCGGGGGCGGGGGGGGGTCTGCGGGCGGCCGGGGCCCGCGGCCCGGCAGGTTCATTTACGCTTGTTAGGGCGTCCCAGGGGGCTGTCTTTCTCCTGGAATGGAGTGTTTATTTTTTAATTGATGTGCTGTTTCATTTAGCGCTTGTATGGAACTCATGCTGGGGCTGTAATTACTGTAATCTCGGGAACAAGCATTTCTGTTAGCCAGGAGGGTGGCAGAATGTGTCTCCTCTCTCTCTCTCTCTCTCACCCCCACCCTCCACCCCCGCTCTCCGGCTCTCTTTCCCCCTCCTCCCTCCCATCTCCCTTCTCCCTCTCTCCCTCTCCCTCCCTCCCTCTCATCCTTCTTCCCTCTCTCCTCTCTCCCCACTCCTTTCCCTCTCCCACCTCTCTCCGCCGTCCTCTCCCTCTTCCCTCCTTCCCTTTTCTCTCCGCTCTCTCACTCTTCTTGTTTCAAGATTTTTGCCATTTGCCAGGTTTCATACCGGAACAAGTACAGCTGGAGGGCAAAAGTTGCAGAGGGCGTGGGGACAGAGCAAGAGAATTAAAGGTACAGTTGAGGCCAGTTTCGGTTTTCGGGGCGCTGCTGCTGGTGGTTGTTCGTTCAGAAACAGCTTTTGTCATAAAACAAAAATAAGCAGCAGTAGTTGCAGATTCCTTGAGCTGATGGAATCCGTGTCTTCCTCCTCTTGCTTTCTGTAGCTCAGCAACCTCGTTATGAAACATATTTACAAGTAGACTGTCAGACCGCACCCCCCAGAGCCCCGTCTTTGGCAAGTTCTGTGTTTTCGCCCTCCTAGGCATATCCACCAGGCGATACTTACACCCCACTATCTTTTTTAATTTTTTAAATTTTAGTCTAGTTGAACCTCTCTATACTGAAAAACATTTCCTTCCCACTTTTGTTTTGGAAAAACCAAAGTCCGTAGGAATTTGGAATTCAAAGGCTTCAGAAATATTAGCTGATTCAGCAGAAAACGGGCTATTCAAAAATGCAGACTCGACTTTTACTTGATTAAAAAATCTGTTTTTCTTTTCCCACCTCCTGGAAATCGGAATTCCCGCTTGTAGGTTGAATGTAGAAAGTCACTATCTCTGCCGTTGGCACCTTGTTTCCAGAACTCGAGCCTCCAGAGCGCTTCAGCTGCAGGTAGAGTTTCAGTGCTGTGCAGAGCGCGGCGGAGCAGGCAGAGCCCCAAAGACCAGCCAGGGTTCTGCACTGCCCTCACCGCAGATGGGAGGGGCTGGTTTCCAAGAGCAACACAGACGGTGAAAAGTTCCTGTTGCTTTTCTTCCACGGAGAAATGTCAAATAGTGAAGTTTAGAATTACACTATATAAATTTGCGAGAATTGGGTAAAAACAAACTGACATTTGAAAATTGAGGCTGAAAATGGTTGATTTTGGCTCTTAATTGGCTTTAAATTTTTTCTCTTTTTTCTTTTGAGACAAGATGAAAGATTTGATGATGTGGAATGTGGAAGTTTGGGGTAAGTATATTAAGTTTGCATGAGAAAAGCAGACTGAAGTTCAGACTTTCAAAAATCCTCTCAGCTATTTGGGAGATCTTACTGATTTGTGAGGTTAAAATCAGTTACATAAAAATCATGACAAATGTTCTTTTAATTGAGAGAACATAAGAATAGCATTTTACATTTACTATTAAGTAGTTACTTGACAGTCTTTCAGAGGAGAAGGGAAAGACTTCTGTAGCCAATTAGTGTGTAAAAGTCAATGATGGGTTACCTAGAAGAAACCAGAACGTAAATCAACTACGATGGCTAAATAATGATGTTTTCATTGTATGTAAAGCAGCTGCTTTTTAGGGGAGGGGAAATAGCTTTAGTAGGGACATAAATAATATAGGGAAGTTTCTAAAGGGATTTCTGAACACATGTCTTGTTACTGAATGGCTTGCAAGCAAATAATATAAACATTTGGAATCGGGAATCTACCTCAGAGGAGGGAAGGTTTTACAAATGTTGGCTACCGAGTTAGTTAGGAGACTATCAATACCGTCTGTAACAAATTTCGGAAACTTTGGGGAAATCATATTCCGGTGGCTTACCATCTAAAAATACAACATAAGAATCTGGGTGGAAGAGAGGGCCTAGCAGATACTAACAGAATGATACGTTCCAAAGATTAAATGAAGAACTCTTTAGTAAGGAATACAATTTCTCAGGTATTACAAAATGCCAAATATTGGCCGGATACGGTGACTCATGCCTGTAATCCCAGCACTTTGGGAGGCCGAGGCAGGCACAGTTGAGCCTAGGAGTTCGGGACCAGCCTGGGCAACATAGCAAAACCCCTTCTCTACAAAAAAAATATAAAAATCAGTTGGGTGTGGTGGTTTGTGCCTATAGTCCCATTACCCCAGAGGCTGAGGTGGGAGGATCACTTGAGTTTTGGAGGTGGGGGCTGCAGTGAGCTGTGATTGCCTCCCTGAACTCTAATCTAGCCTGGGCAACAGAGCGAGACCTTCTCTCTGAATAAATAAATAAAGGCCAAATATTTATTCTTAAAGCTTATTTTTGCTCAAGAAAACAGGTAGTATATTATTAGAGAATATAAAACTCTTACAACTGGCTGGGCTCAGTGGCTCTCACTTTTCCTAGTGCTTTGGGAGGCCGAGGTGGGAGGATTGCTTGAGGCCAAGGGTTGGAGAGCAGTCTGAGCAACACAGCAAGACCCTGACACTACAAAAAAAAAAGACTAGGGGCGGTGGCTCAACACCTGTAATCCTAGCACTCTGGGAAGAGAGGTGGGCTGATCAGTAGAGGTCAGGAGTCCAAGACCAGCTTGGCTAACATGGTGAGTCCTCATCTCTATGGAAAATACAAAAATTAGCTTGACATGGTGGTGGGCACCTGTAATCCCAGCTACTGGGGAGAGGCTGGAGAATCGCTTGAATCTGGGAGGCGGACGTTGCAGTGAGCTGAGAATGCACCACTGCACTCCAACCTGGGCAACAGAGCAAGACTCTGTCTAAAAAAAAAAAAATTACTTGGGTCTGTAGCATATACCTGCAGTCCCAGCTGCTTGAGGGGAGGATCACTTGAGTTCACACTTTGAGATTGTAATGAGCCATGATAATGCATGCACTCCAGCTTAGGTGACAGAATGAGACCTCGTCTGAACAAAAAGACACACAAAACGCACAACAAAAAATTCCCTCTAATGGTAATACTGGGGCATCTTGGTGTTTTAAAAATCCATCTTTCAAAGGGTTATGTCTTGAGTCTCTCACTCCATAAATAAAAGGGGAGGTAGAGGTGAACTGGCGTCGTCAATCTCTGCTAGATTTAAATGGGTGAGATTATTTTTATATTCTTCCTTATGACCATGAAACTTGATTGAAGTGCTGCTGCTTCTGTCCTCTCTGCTGCCAGGAAAGAGATCCTGTTGGAAGGAAGTACTCCTTGCTGTGTCTGCTGTCACCAGGCCAAGGTGCCCATGAGAGGAGATAACAGGCCAGTCTGTGCTGCTGGCGGACAGGCCCACGCTCACTGTACATGCGGCTGCTACTTTGGAATACGGCGACTGCACTGCCATTATTCAACTTGATAATTATTCTAAAATTTGTTTTAAAAGTCAATAATTGGGCTGGGCCCGGTACTCACGCCTATAATCCCAGCACTTTGAGAGGCCTAGGTGGGCGGATCACGAGGTCAAGAGATTGAGACCAGTCTGGCCAATATGGTGAAACCCTGTCTCTACTAAAAATACAAAAATTAGCTGGACATGGTGGCACAATGCATGTAATCACAGCTACTTGGGAGTCTGAGGCAGGAGCATCTCTTGAACCCAGGAGGCGGAGGTTGCAGTGAGCCGAGACTGTGCCATTGTACTCCAGCCTGGCGACAGAGTGAGACTCCCTCTCAAAAAAAAAAAAAATCAATAATTGATTTTTTTCTCATTCACATGGGAATATTTGCCAGATTTTGATGCTCTTATTATGGGATGCATTGTGCATGAGTTTGGGAGCTTTCAGGTCCAGTAAAGTCCTCCTGAGTAAAAGGTGCTTAGCCAAGAGGGACATCTCAACATATCAGTAAATTAGCTGGGCATGGTGGTGGGTGCCTGTAATCACAGCTACATGGGAGCCTTAGGTAGGAGAATCTCTTAAACCTGGGAGGTGGAGATTGCAGTGAGCAGAGATCATGCCATTGCTCTCCAGCCTGGGCGACAAGAGTGAGACTCTCTGTCTCAAAAACAAACAATCCAACAAACAAACAAAGAAATGAACCAAAAAATTGATGTAGTTCTGGAGTTTTAGTTTCTGTGTTTCTTTTAAGCCTATTCATGTAAGTTTTTTCTTTGTTTGTTTTCTTTTTTTTTTTTTTCTGGACGGAGTCTCACTTCGTCACCCAGGCTAGAGTACAGTGGTGCGATCTTGGCTCACTGCAACCTCCACCTCCTGGGTTCAAGCAATTTTCCTGTCTTAGCCTCTCGAGTAGCTGGGATTACAGGTGCCCACCACTATTGCCATCTAATTTTTGCATTTTTAGTAGAGACAGGGTTTCACCATGTTGGCCAGGCTGCTCTGGAGCTCCTGACCTCAAGTGATCTACCTGCCTTGGTCTGGAAAATTGATGGGATTACAGGTGTGAGCCACCATGCCTGGCCTGTTTTCATTTTTTGTTATTTTTAAAAGAAGCCTACATCATGCTCTGAATAACCTTTTTTTTTGCATTGACAAAATTAAATATAATGCAAGGAAAATTTTTGAATTCCAATTCTGAACTGCTTATGAATGCACAGGACTTTATATCAAAAAATTGTAAGAGTTTATAACCGGTAACAATGATCCATTTTAAAGGGTAGTCTGAAACTGTAATACGATTTGCCATCAGTAATGCAAATAATAATTATTAGGGCACTCAGGACAAGGAGATGGTGGGATGACAATGACATTTCTTTCTATTTTATTTCTGTCTTGGCTAGATTCAGGTAAACAGCATTTTCTTTTTCCTAGAGGTGACAGCATTTTATTATTATATTGTTGGCATGGGTCTGTCTTGGTTGCTCTGGGAAACAAATGTACTTCTATGGGGTTACCTTTATAGTATATGGAAGTATAATTTGTACTAAAATAATAACATAGATAAAAGAAAAAAAGATGCATTAATATGTTCAGCTTATTGAAATAATATCACAGTGTAATGAAATCTGGGCCTTTCTTAAAACACTGTCTGTCAAGGTGAGTTTGAAAAATTCTAGTTTAGAATGCATTCAAAATAAGTCCATAAATACCAACTATTCTGGTTCCCGTTACTGTACAGCAGTGATCCCAGAACTTGGTGGCTTAAGGCAACCGTTTTATTTTGCTCCTAATTTTAAGGGTCAGGAATTTAGGAAAGGCTCGGCTGGCAGGTGTTGCTCAGTGTCTGTCCTGTAGTTGAACTCACCTGTCCACAGGACCAGGGTCATCTGAAGGCTTGAGGAGGTTAACCAACCAAGCTGAGACCTCCTGTGATGGCCTGTTGATACTGACTCGCCACTGGAGTGACCCACGTGACCTTTCCGGCTTGGCAGACTCTCCCACGTGACCTTTCCAGCATGGCTGATTCACCACTGGAGTGACCCATGTGACCTTTCCAGCATGGCCGGCTTTCCATTGGAGTGATCCACATGACCTTTCCAGCATGGCCGACTCTTCACTGGAGTGACCCACCTGACCTTTCCAGCATGGCCGACTCTCCACTGGAGTGACCCACCTGACCTTTCCAGCATGGCAGACTCTCCACTGGAGTGACCCACCTGACCTTTCCATGGCAGCTTCAGAGGAGTTGGATTCCTTACATGGCAGCAGGGTGGGGGCGGTGGGCTCCCCAGAGCGAGCATCCTAAGAGAACCAGCTGAATACTGCATGCCCCTTTTTATGACATCTCCTCAGAGTCACACAGCATCACTTCCACCCCACTCTGATGGTAGGAGTGCACTAAGATTCAAAGGCAGGGATATGGACCTACCGCAAAATGGAAGAAATGCCAAGTATTTGGGGGTCATATTTAAAAACTGCCACACCAACTAAGTCCCAGGCCCTGTGTTAAGTGCGAGGGTGTGACGATGAATCAGACATTATGTCTTTTATAGGAAATTCACATGGGACAGCCACAGGTGAACAAGTATAGATATTTACATAGTATACAGAAATAGCATTAGGGGACACATGAATGTCACTAACAGAGCTGGGAAAGGACCTCACAGGAATTGTGAAGAAGGATCAGGAGTTTATTTGAGGAGGAGCAGAATTCTAGGCACACGAGAAAGCACTGACAAATCACAATGGTAAGAAATCACCATCACCTCTGCCTTTGCTATTAATACAACAGCAAGAATATTCCTGGGACAGAAATATTTTCATTTGTATTCAATCTGTTCATATAGTTCATATCTTTATATAGGTTACATTTGGAGTCTATAGAGCTCAGTATCTATTACAGTCTTCAACTGGGAGTAATAGGAAGCCTGAAAAGATATTTACCTGACATTCCCTGAGATCTGGAGGTGGGCTGGCTTCAAAGTCCATACATTCTCTGACTCCACACATTGTCAAGTTGGGTTCTTTCCATCTTTTTCTCCATCAGTCTGGTATGTTAGTTTGTTGCCCTGATAATCACAGAGTGGTTACAGACTAAAGCTCACTTCTTCACATGCCAGCGTTCAGAGGCAGAAAGAGGAACATTCTTCTCCTCGTGCCTCGTTTTCAGTGCCAAGAACGCTTTCCCGGAACTGATTTTCTCTCGTTTCTCATGGCTCAGAATTGGGTGACAAGTCACATCACTGAGCCTGACCTGGCCGTAAGGGGTCGCTTGGACAGAATCGGGGTTTTGCTAGTAAGGAAGATGGGTAGTGGACTCACCCCGTGTAGATCACCAAGGGTGTATGCCCCAAACCCTAGGGACTGAGGCACCACATGGCAAGAGGCCCCTATCTCTTTGTGTCTAACTTCCGTGGTCTGAGGTCAGATACTTTATAGCCTAGTGGTCGTTGAAGCAGGTTCATATGCTCTTGTGTTAACTAACAGCAAAACCTAAGTCCTTTCTCCTCCTGTTTTCCCCATAAATTTCATGCAGGTGGGATCTGCTAATAAGATTCCAGTTATTTATTTCACTGGAGCAAATTGCTTTGCTTACGAGTACCCCGCTTTAAGAAATCCAGTTGCCTGCAGGGCCTCTAAGCGAGGCCAGGCTAAAGAATCACTCTGTCTAGCAGAATGAGATGGGTGGTTTGTATGTTTGCTTATGTCCCTGTCTCTCTGCAAACTCCCCGTGGGGTAATTACTTGCAGGAACACCTTACTAAACAGCTAGGAAGCATAAGGACTGCCAGAGATGAAAATTTATTTCTCACCTGTATGTTTTCCGGAACCTCATAGGGTTGAGGAATAACAGCTTCTAAGAACCTACAGAGGACATAGTATTCAGGAGGACTAGGTGGTGTTTCAGTCTGTGGGTATATCCAGTTCTTTGCAGCTAATGCCCCTAAATAAATCAGTTTCTAAAGAACTATGCCCTCATGAAAGTTCTATATTTATTTGTTCTTTATATTTCTTCTAGCATGTAGCCATCCTACTTTCTGTACATGATTCTTGTTTTTGGATCATTCACTGTTCTCAGGAAGATATTGGTGGCATGTGGAGCCTTTCTTCAAGCATGGTTTCTGTTTTATCGTGGTGATTGTCTTTATTTTGGTAGTTGCTTGTTTGGGAGGCTCCTGGCTTGCTAAGTCTTCCCTGCAAGCTTTTAGTAGAATGTGCTTGCTGGACTTGTTACTACAGGAGTTTCTACCAGGGGATTCCCCTATGCTGCCCAAGCTGAACCAGATTCACCTGCGTGGCCATTGATTTATTTATATTCAAGATGGAGTCTCGCTCTGTCACCCAGGCTGCAGTGCAGTGGTGCGATCTTGGCTCACTGCAACCTCCACCTCCTGGGTTCAAGTGATTCTCGTGCCTCAGCCTCCTGAGTAGCTGGCACCACTCCTGGCTAATTTTTGTATTTTTAGTAGAGACAGGGTTTTGCCATGTTGGCCAGGCTGGTCTCAAACTCCTGACCTCAGGTGATCCGCCTACTTCGGCCTCCCTAAGTGTTGATATTACAGGCATGAGCCACCATGCCCAGCCCTACAAGTCCACTCCTGCTTTCACCTTCATTTGAGAGTCTGCCTTAGCAAACAGCATTGCTCATGGTGAAGGATCTTTTTTGAAGAGACAGGTTCTTCATGTTCTTGCTCTGTTGCTCAGGCTGGAGTGCAGTAGTGTGATCGTAGTTCACTGCAGCCTCAAACTTTGGGCTCAGAGATTCTCCCACTTTAGCCTCGTGAGTAGCTGGGACTACCGGTACATGCCACCAAACCCGAGTAACTACTTTTTTTTTAGAGACAGGGTCTTGCTATGTTGCCCAGGCTGTTGTGGAACTCCCAGCCTAAGTGATCCGCCCGCCTTGGCCTCTTAAAGTGTTGGGATTACAGGCGTGAGCCACTGCACTGGCTTCATTATGTTTTCCATTGGTATCCATGTGGTCTCTGGTTTCCTATTTCAGAAAAAGTGTCTATCTCTATATGGATTGTGGCATTGTCTGTTAATTTTGTCAACTCCTTGACCTTGTCGTCCAATCTGAAGATAAACAGAACAGAAAACTTCACTTGGTGTTTTACCTGTCAAAAATTGGAAAAGATTCTTTTTTTTTTTTTTTTTTTGAGATGGAGTTTCGCTCTTGTTACCCAGGCTGGAGTGCAATGGCGCGATCTCGGCTCACTGCAACCTCTGCCTCCTGGATTCAGGCAATTCTCCTCCCTCAGCCTCCTGAGTAGCTGGGACTACAGGCACGTGCCACCATAACCAGCTAATTTTTTTTTTTTTTTTGTATTTTTAGTAGAGACGGGGTTTCACCATGTTGACCAGGATGGTCTCGATCTCTTGACCTCGTGATCCACCTGCCTTGGCCACCCAAAGTGCTGGGATTACAGGTGCGAGCCACCGTGCCTGGCAAGGATTCATTTCTATTAGGATTCTATTGGAGTTTGGTTGTCTTGTGGTAATAAAATATCCAAGGTTTCTACTGGAAGGTAATCTATTGGAATTAAACATCCTGATTTTTTTTTTGATGAGAGGAGAAAATGTAGGTATAACTAAACAGAGAGAATCCTAACCTATAATTCATAATTGCAGACTGGTGAATATCAGCCTTGTTCCTAAATCCCCCAAGTGAGCAATAAAAACTGTACTTAGAAAAAATGAAGTTAGGATTCTATGCTAATGGTAACTATAGGGAATAGTTGCTTTACTTAAGAATGAGAGTGACCAGAATAAGGATGGAAAGTAGTTTGATCTGCGTTACATTGTTCACGTATTGGAGGATGGCGAGAGAGGAGTCTGGATGAGTGAGGTAGAATAGAATAATACTCTCAGCTGCCATGCACAGACAGCAGGTCTTTCAGGCACTAGGCTCTGGGCTGGCCCCTGCTCCCATTTCTTTCCTTTTTCTTTATTTTTAAATAATTTAGGGTGTTTCAGCAACAAATCACAGTTAATCCAACTTAAACTGGCTCATGCAGAATGGAAATCATCATCTTACAAAACAAGGAATACAAAAGTAGGGCAGTTTTCCAGGTTGGTAGATACTGATTTTCAAAAATGTCATCAATGATTCAGGTTTCTTCTGTTTCTCTGCTCTGTTCCCCTCAGGGGTGTCACCCATGGTGACCTCAGAGTCACAAGACAGCGGCAGGAT